TGAAAAATCTTAATACATTCAGGGGAAATATTCTAAAAACTTATGTATATATTATGAAATTTGTCACTCTGTTTATGTAAAATGAGATGAGAGCTTTGATGGCCTAATTGTATTAATTTGACAAAATCTAATAATAGAGGCCACAGTGGAAATTAGGGACAAATGGATTCCTGAGCCAATAAAATCCAACTCAAACATTTTCCCAGATCTCTGTGTGAAAGAGTCACACTTGCTGATTTATTTGTCCTTGTGCAGATCAAAAACTCCTGTATATCATTTTTAATATATTGTTACTCTGTAGTATCACTATAGAATGTATCACTGTCATCTTTGGGCTATTAATCCATTTTAAGTAGAATGAGGATATAATACTCCCAAAACCGAAATAAAATTTAAGTTTAACAAACACAAACAGTAGTACATAATTGATGTGTAAAGGTAGAATCAACTTTACCTTGTTAACTAAATTTATTTAAGACAAAGTGACTAATTTCTCCTTTGTGTTATATTTATAAGCATAACAATGGCTTTTACTATTATATATATATAAAAATATAATGTATGGTTTTTAGTATTATATATATAAAATATAAATTATGCATTATACACTATGGCTTTTACTAATATATACAAATAATACACATAATATAATATTTATAATGATACTATGTTATTTAATATTTAAGTAACATAATAAATATAACATATAAAGTTTAAGGGAGTTCACTAATGAATAAGAGAATCTAATTTAGGAAGGTATAAGGAAAATTGCAAACCCGAATATATAAGAGTAGAAGAGAATTAAAGTTGCTTAAAGCTTAAGGTACTATTGCATCTGTTCTTCTTATGTCTTTTTTTCCTGACTGAATATTTGAGATTATAGATTAAAGTCATAAAGCATTCAAAACAAATACATAAATAAATTAACTTGCATTTAAAATATTGATAGCTGAGGGGCCGGCCTCATGGCTTTGCAGTTAAGTGAGCACACTACGCTGCTGGCGGCCCGGGGTTCAGATCCCGGGCACGCACCAAGGCACTGCTTGTCAAGCCATGCTGTGGCGGCGTCCCATATAAAGTTTAGGAAGATGGCCACAGATGTTAGCCCAGGGTCAATCTTCCTCAGCAAAAAAAGGAGGATTGGCGTGGATGTTAGCTCAGGGCTGATCTTCCTCGCAAAAAACAAAAACAAAATAATATACATGTATATTGATAGCTGAAGCTAAATAAAATCACCCCAAAAAAAATCTCAAAGTGTAAAATAATTAAATCCAACAGGTAGTAAAAAAGACAAAAACAGAGAATCATTAACATATTGCAGCAAACTATTAGTAGAAATACGACATAATGCCATCTTTTAGCCTGTGTTTCATTTGTGGGGGCTTTAAGAATGGATCTACTTACGTGAAACCCCCAGACAAAAAGAGTAGAAAATCTCCTTGAATAACTGGCTGTAAACAACAGAATGCTTCTATGTAATTTTAACCAAAACAATTTTGTGGAAAAATACTGGGACCTCTTAGAATCATCAGGATGATGGAAGATTGGACTTGGGGAAGCAGCAGTTCCTACAGGGACTCCAGAGGATTAGGCAACAGAAACTACAGCAGAGGTCACACAGGTAAACAAACTGGTCCACACATTGCAGCCGTCACTATAACGAAGGAATTCCCTGACCCCTGGTCTTTGCTTCAGTCAGTTAAGTTCCAAAGTACTGAAGGCATTATTGGCTTAGCCAACATCATTTCCCCATCCATTGGCTGTGCCCTTTGACTGCCTTAGCAAGAAGTGCTCAGTAAATCCCATGAAAAAGACATTTTTTGGGAGAATTTTCCTAAAGTAAAATTGAAGAGAAATTATAAAATCAGAAGAGGAGTTAGGTTATCAGAAGAAAAATGGTTCACATTTTCGTATCATGTTGATATATACAGGTATAGTCATAGAACTGATATCTACAAGGCTTCATGGGGATACAGCTCTGAACCTCCCACCCACAGCAACCACAAACAGACAAAGACATCTTGGCGAACACCCCAGTCTTTGGGTAAGCTTTTGATGTGTGGGGTTCATGCAATGAACATTTTGATAGCAATAAAATTATTAATATCATATTAAATAATTTAAAATTTTATGTAGTCAATATTGATAAAAATATTAAAAATATTTCAGTGGCCTGATATAAAATAAAATCAAGAGATATAATTATGCCATATTTCTACCAATGTTTTGCTGCAATGTTAAAGGTTCTCTATGTTTTTATTCATTCCTTTTACTACATGTTGGATTTCATTACTTCACATTTTTTAGAAGTGTAGAAAAGAGAATGAAAATGCCGATGAATTCTCTCTCTCATTAACTGACATATAAGTAGTATTGTATCAAAGGCCAGATGGTTGTATAATGACTACATTTTATTCCTTTATTTCTAAACATTTAAGTTTAAATATTTTTCTTCTTAGTATCATCTAGAGATCTGCTTGTTTATGGTCCTGGAATCAAGATTATTTAAAAAATTTTGAAACATTTTAGTTTTGCTTGCAGTATCATGGACTATTCTGATATTAATATATAGTCAACATTGTTCAAGATACATTTAAAAAAATATTCCCAGAGCAAAGTGCAAAGATCTAAATAACAAGCAAATTCATTTGTCTCCCTTGGTGAGTGTTTTTTTTCCATTCAGCCTTCCCCATGTGAACGGGTGGAGGTGTTTTATTGCAAGGAGGACTGCTCAAGTGGAGACGCAGGCTGACGATTTGTACAGGCTCCTCTCTGCTGACAGTTCTGAACCTAGGATTTTATTCTGACTCAATGACACAGAGTTTGTGTCAATGGTCAACAGTCTTTATGAGTTTTACAGCAATAATTTACATATAACAATTGTATGAAGAAGTGTGATTATTAACTTTGTTTTTATTTTTTTACGTCTTATGTGAAAATAATTTCAAATACAGTCATGTGTTGCTTAATGAAGGGAATGTCTTCTGAGAAATATGCCATTAGGCGATTTCATCGTTGTGCAAACATCATAGAGTATATTTACACAAACCTAGATGATATAGCCTACTACACATGTAGGGTAAAGGGTATAGCCCATTGCTCATAGGCTACAAATCTGTACAGCATCTAACTGTACTCAATACTGTAGGCAATTGTAACACAATGGTACGTATTTGTGTATCTAAACACATCTAAACATAAAAAAAGTACAGTAAAAATAGAGTACAAAAGATAATAAATGGTACACATGTGTAGGGCACTTACTATGAATGGAGCCTGAAGGACTTGAAGTTGCTCTGGATGAGTCAATGAGTGAGTGGTGAGTGAATGTGAAGGCCTAGGACATCACTGTATACTATTGTAGACTTTGTAAACACTGTAAACTTAGGCTGCACTAAATTTGTAAAAAAAAAAATTTCTGCAATAATAAATGAAACAACTTACTGTAACTTTTTTACTTTATAAACTTTTAAATTTTTTAAAACTTTCTGACTCTTTTGTAATGACACAGCTTAAAATACACAGTGTACACCTGTACAAAAATATTTTCTTTCTTTATATCACTGTTCTATAAGCTTTTTTCTGTTTTTAAAATTTTTTATTTTTTTTTTTTTACTTTTTAAACTTTTTTTGTTAAAAACTAAGACACAAACACACATTAACTTAGGCCTACACAGGGTCACTATCATCAATATCACTGTCTTCCATCTCTATATCTTGTCCGGCTGCAAGGTCTTCGGGGGCAATAACATTACAAACATGTGAGTAATGCATCGTTGCAAAGACATTACAATGGCTAGAATGTCAATAAAAAAAAGAAACTTTTCAGCTCCTTTATAATCTACGGGACCACTGTCTCTACGTGCTGGACTGAAACGTCATTATGCGGCACAGGACCATATAGAGAAAATTTGTAAAAGTGAAAATAGTACAAAGAACACCTGTGTACCATTTATCCAGATGTATCTATTGTTGAAATTTTATCCTTTGTTTTATCACTTGTTTTCTCGCTCTCTCTAAACACACACACACATATTTTTTCCTGAATTGTTTGTAAGTTACATGTATCATAGACAGTTACACCTCAATACTTCAGTGTATGTTTTTTCTTACATAACCACAGTGAAGTTATCAATTTCAATAAATTTAAGACAGACATGATATTTTTATCTAATCCACTGTTCATACTCCAATTTCGCCAATTTACCATGTCTGTTATAGCATTATTTCCCACACACAGTACTGGATCCAGTCAATTGTTGCGTTTAATGAATTTGCTTAGCATCCAAAATTTTATCTGTAACATTTTCATAGCCTTTCTTTGTCATTTATGTCACCGATCTTTTTAAACAATACAATATCATCTTTTTTGCAATTGAATATTTCTCAATTTGTTTTTTTTGGTTGTTTCTTCGCGATTAAACTCAGGTAATGCGTTCTTGGTCAGTGTACCACATAGCTGATGTTGTTTCCTTTTCAGGGCATTGCATTTTCAGGCACAATGTCCAGTTGTCCTTCATTGGTGATATTAATATTGATCACCAAGTCAAGACGCTGTCTGATTACTATATGATCAGTGTGTAAGTGTGTTTTAATTCTTCTCATTTATCCTAAGGAGTTTGCAGAGACACATGTTACGACCATGCAAATTTACTTCTCACCAAAATCTCCCCCTAATTTAGTATCCATTGATGATTTTTCCTGATCGAATATTTGCTATATGGTTGCAAAATAATGACTTTATTGCATTTCTTCCACATTTGTTTTTGGTTCTCAATATTCTACCGTAACCCAAAGACCTTCTTTTCCCCTTAATTAGTTAATTATTGGTATGAAACCATGGATTTGTGTTTTACCAAAGGATTATAAATAATTCCTGTAATTATATTAGTGCTCGACTTGTCCATGATTTGGTCCCTCCAAACTGGTTTCTATGTGACATATTCCCATGATAGTTTTCTTTTTTTGAGCATTTATGACTTTTGATTATAACTACATACTTTGGGCTCATCCTGTATTTAACTTGTCCAACCCCCAAATCAGCCAATTTCTGAGGGGACCTGGTTTGTTTTAGTGAAGAGGAGATTAGAGATCAGTGTCTGGTAGCTATGTATGCTCATTTATACAGTAGGTATTTTGTTTGATTTTTTTCTGTTTTGGCCTTTCTATTGGACAAAGTTAGGAAATATACACAGGAATATGAGCGTAAACATGCACATTTAGACAAATATGCATGTACATAGATATTCATGCCCATGTGCAGATATACATGCATATATCACATACATATTTTAGAAATCATGAGTTCACACAGAAAATCTCAAATTTAATCCAACTCACAGTTTTTTCTTACCCTCTCCCATTCCATAGTAGTCTGTCCAGTCTTCCACAGTGAGAACACTGTCTTTCAATGTCATCATAATTACCCTTTTGGTTGATCCTATAACTCTTATTGATTTAATTTTATGTTCTGAATATGTAGTATGTTAACATGCTTCCAAAGTCAAAAATCTATATACAGAACAGTGTCACTCCATCCTGTATTTTTTAATGTCATTAATCTCCATTCTTTGTACATAATTTCAGTATTTTGGGGTTATCTTTTCAATTTTTTCTTTTTGTAAATATAAGCAAAAATAAGTACATTTTCTCACTTTCCCATCTTTCTTACTTAAAGATTAAAATACTATACATGACCTTTCACGTTTCTTTTTTTATTTAATATCATCCTCTCCCAACAGAAACATTGATGGCCTTCGATTTTTTTGTCAATTTAATGGGTGAGAAATTGTATCCCACTTTCAATTTTATACCTTAGTTTTAATTTGCATTTCTTTTATGAGTGAAGTTGAATATCTTTGCATATATATAAAGGCCTTTTCGTATCTCTTTTGTAAATTTTTCATGTCTTTTGTCTATTTTTCTATAGAATTTTTGCTTGCTTTGGTCAACTTTTAAAATTATTTGTAAACTTGGAATATTAGGCCATTATCTATAACATATGTTAACAATAGGTTCTTACAGGTTTTCCATTTTTTGTATTTATGGTATTTTTTCTCACATAAAGGTTTTTTTTTTTTTTTTAAATTTTGGTCAAACTTACAAATCTTCTCCTTTGTTTCCTCTTCTGAAAGCTTTTCTCTACACTCAGGCCATAGAAGCAGTCACCACAAGATATCTTGTTCTGAGGTTACTTGCCGAAGCCCACAGATATATAGTAGTGACCAATCTAAAGCTTCAAAGAATGTAGCAAAAGTTGCAAGTGGTATTTCCTCTCTAAGAAGATGGTAAAATAACTGTGCCTGGAAGATGAAGTGACATAGAATCACACAATATGAAGTATAAACAGGAAAGTTTATAAAGATGTGGAGTTCTACTTTCTCAGCACTAAAACTGGTGACAGTAACTCAGTTTTGAAGGACACAAGCGGTATAGAAGACAGAAGAAAACACCTAGGATCCAAACCCAAGACAGGTGATCCCTGAATAAAAGTGAACATGTCAGATAGCACTGCCCTCATGTAATGGTAAATGGGGGGTGGGAGGGAGGAGCAAAAAACTGACCCCCAGGAAGAAATGGCAAAGGAAGTTGCTTATTTTTGGAAAGAAAAAAAAGTATCAGAAAAAGTGCAACTGCATAAATTGACTTGTGAAAAATGTAGAAAGCCAACATCACACCCACTTTTTCACTGGGAAATAGTTTTGGGATTGTATTGAATTGTTTTACAACTGAGTTGTCTTTTTAGATTTCCTCATAACTGTCAGCTCAGTTCTATCTGTCACTAATTTGAGCATGCAGAGATGCTTGAGAATCTTAAGTTACAGTTTGGAAATATTCTTTTGGACTTCATGTTTGCAACGCAATAATACAGGATGGACGTATTATTCCTCGCTATTGTTGTTAGCTCAAGAGTAGAGTTAAAATATTACAAAAGATCATCTCTCGCAGCCTGCCCTGATAAAATAAGAATTGTAGCAACCTTGAGTCTTTTTTCCTCTTTCCATTTATTTCTCAGTCTTTTACAGCTGCAAGAGCAGCTTAAGAATTAGTTGTTCTATGTAATAATGGGAAAATGGGAGTGTGGGAGGTGAATATTAAGATAACTTTGCAATCATTTTAATACTTCTTTTCAGTTTATTTCTTAATATAATAATTTCATGAATAGGAAAAAAATAAAGCCATCAGGACATCCTCAAGAAGAAATAGAATTTATATTATTCTAGGCTTATTGCTTGGAAATGGTTTTTGAAAAGACAGAATCCTCTGTGTGCCCCTCTGGGAACTTCTGTTTCTCAGTTATGGTAGGATTTGGAATAGGTTTTTCACCGAGACATTAGGGAAAAGACTAGTGTTCTCATTCCATTTCTAATAAAGCAAAAACCAGTGTATAAAATTAAGAGTTTAAAAGTATAAATTGTGTATTAAATGCATACCTTCTAGATTCAAGGAGAGCCTCATTGTTTGATTATTAGTAAAATATTTCTATGAAATTATTATCACTTTTAGTATAATAATTTGTAAATTAAATGCTGACAGCAACATTAGCATTAATGTCTCTATACAATTAAAACAAATACCTGTGCCAGAGTTTTAAACAGAGTTAGAAAATTCAAAAGTCATTATTCCAATGACAATTATAGTCTTGAAAAAGAGAACTATAGGTACTTAATCTTATCTATGACATATATGTTAACCTACTGTTATACCTGAGATATACTAGATCTTCAATAAACATGATTTTTCTTCCTTTCAACATTGAAATTTAACTATCTTTAATTTATCAATATATTTCCTAGTACCAACTCATTATAAATCCTATATAGTAAATAAGAGAAAGATAAAAATACTAATTCTGACTATATAGCACTTTCTTACTTTCAATCGGGGGTTATAAACTGCTTCACGACAAAAGAGAATGCACACTATGATCCAATTTCCTTCTGCTTTAGAAAGGAAATATAAACTATTTGATATCTGTAAAGTGGTTTTTTTTGAGATAGAAGAGAGTTGACACAGGTGAAGAGAAGGTGAGTACACACATCTACATCTTATGCGGGTTTGTAATAGGGCTGCCTGCAATACAATCATCACCCCGTATTTAAGCCTGCAAAACCTTATTGCACAATAAGGATAACAAACCACAATGTGGGCCAGCCATAGAGCTACTCTTCATTTAGTGGAACATTTTTACACCACTATACAATGTTACCTCTTTCAGAAATGAGGAATACCTTCAATATCTTCTCTCAAACTTGCAAGGAAGAAGTAATTATCTTGCTTTGTAAATATTTCCGGAATAATTAGACTTTCTCTTCAATTGATGTTGACTGATTTTATTTATATGAAGCCCAAGAACAGGAGAAGTTATTCTATGGTATATAATTCAAAATTGGGCAGTGTGATTGACCAGAAAGAGACGTAAAGAAACTTTCTCAGGTAAGAGAAATATTCTATTTCTTTTTATTTGGATTGTGGCTAATCCATGTGCATAACTGATAAAACTCATCAAACTAAATAAGTTTAATTTTGTTGTATGAAAATTATATCTCAACAGAAATTGTCTCTCTCTATATATTTTTAGATTTGTATTTGTTAGACTCCAGTCAAAAAAACAAGGTATACTCTAACTCCTTCAATCAGAAAAGGATGTAATTAAGGTTATTCCGTGTTTACAAAACTACTCAAAGGCCTGAAGGAAAAAAGGTCAAGAAAGCCTTCTCCAGCTCCCAAGTTCAACTCTTTCTTTCAGAGGGTCAAAAAGTTGCACAACGAAGAGGAAAAGATCTTTGATGCACTCAGGTGCCTCCGAAACAAAACTGGATGCTTTGCAGATTTGCTCACGGAGGTAAGGTTATCATTACTTCTCTTCTGTCTTTCCATCGTGTGATTGGCTTCCACTGATGGAATATAAAATTGAACCCTCTTGGCAAAGATTCTGAGAAATCTAAATCCCAGAAAAACACAGATGTCAGAAAACAGTGCAGAGTTGCCTGCCTATCTATTTATCATCTATCTGTCTACTATCTATCTATCTATCTACTATCTATCTATCTGTCTATCTATCTATCTATCTCTCTATCACCTATCTCTCTCTGTCTCTCTCTCTCTATCTCTATCTATCTATCTATCTATCTATCTATCTATCTATCTATCTATCTATCTATCTATCATCTATCTCTCTGGAGAGAAATAGAGAGAGGGCAGAGGAAAAAGAGACACTTGCACCTTTTGTTGCAAGTATATCTATGCTTCATTTTTTTTTTGTTGCTTAGCAGTATTTCATTATATGAATGCATCACCATTTTTCTAGTGGATATTTCACATTTTTCCAATTTTTACTATTGTAAAAAAATTTCTGTTATTTCACAAGTCTTTCCGGAAAGTCACATTTTCATTTTTCCTGGATAAAAATCTTTAAATGTTATCATTAGATGTAATATTCTAAAAATACCAATTAGGTCAAATCAGAGTCAGATATCACTTCTATTTGTCTACCGATTTTTCTCTACAAGTACTTTGAAATTACTGAAAGGGTAATGTTAAAATTCCTAAATTTGATTCTAGATTTGTCTGTCTCTCTTCATTCTTCATTTTTTTTTTGTTTCTTGTATTTTTTAAACTCTTATCAGGTGCATACAAATTTATGATTGTCTTTATCATGATTACTCCTTTTTTATCTTCATGAAATATCCCTCTTCATCTCTGTTAATTATCTTTATGGAAGTATATTTTTTACTGATATAAGTACAACGACACTGAGTTTCTCATATCTAATACTTGCTTTATGTATTTCTTTTCACCGTTTTACTTTCAGTTTGTGTATCTTTAATATTTAAAATATGTTTCATATAACTAACCTGTAGTTAGTATTTGTTTTTTCATCCATTGTGAGAAACTCTCATTTTTGATCAGTGTACTTAGTATGTTTACATTTAATGTAATTATTGATATTTGCAATTCATTAGAATATTAGTTTTCTGTTTCTTTATTCTCTTCTTTTTTCCTTTGTTCCTTCTTTCTGGCCTATTTTTGAGCAAACAGTATTTTTAGTAGTCCATTTTGTGTTCTCTATCTATATCTATCTATTTAGTTTGTTAGCTATCTATCTTTGTGATTTTTTGTGTGGTTACTGTAGAGATTAAAATATACATTATTCCTTTATCACAGCTTACCCGTAAATAATACTACTTCATGAAAATCATTTAAATCTTTCAATAGTATAATTATCTCTTCCCCAAAACTCTACAGTTATTGTCATAGATTTTGTTTCTAAATATCCTATAAAACCCATAGTATATTTTAATTCTTGCTTTAAAATATCAGTAAAGTTTTAAATTGATATGCTTTTTGATATGCATAGTTTTTATATTTACCCCAGTATTTATCCTCTTTGTTGCTCCTTATTCCTTGTTATGGATCCGAAGTTCCATCTTATACTAAACCCTTTCAGCCAGAATGATTTCTTCTAGCATTTCCTGTAGTGAAATCTGTTGCTACTGAATTCTTTCAGCTTTCATCCATTTAATATTGTCTTTTTTAGCTTTCATTTTTGAAGGATATTTTCACTGCATATAAAGAAGTACTAGATTAATTGCTTTTTTTATTCTTTTAGCACTTAAAAAGCATGTTTACATTTTCATTTCAACTCTATGTTAAAAAGACAGCTTTCAATCTTTTCTTTCTTCTTCCGTATATATGGTGTCATTTTTCTCCCCTCTGGTAGAAAATTTTAAGATGTTCTCTTTATCTTTGGTTATTTAGCAGTTTGACACAGATGTGCCTAGTTGTGGTTTTTATTTTTATGATGATTAATATTAGCATTAGTTTATTAATTATACTAATAATATTCCCTAACCATGAATTTGAAATGATTGAAAAGTGCATTATAGTTTTAATTATGAGTGTCCAGAAATAAAAACGTATACTAAATACTATAAGCCAAATTTTGTGACACTAAGATATAATTTAAAACTTTGAATTTTTTCTTTGAGTAATAGGTTACTGAAGATTTTACAACACTGACATGTGTTGTTTCAAATTTCTATTTTTATATATATTTTCTGCCAGCACGTTTCTTTTCAAAATCTTAAGAGTAACTTAAAAATTTTGAATGTTTTAAAACAAATCCACATCTTGAAGAAGAGATGACAACGTCCATTTAAATATAGATAGCATAATATAATTTAAACTATATTTATGCTTTGTTCTCAAAGGCTACTCTAAGAATTTATGAACATCAACTACTGACACATGTTTTTCTGCCATAAAACAATGTTTCTTGAAGTTATTTCCATTCACCACTTAGTTCAAAATCACCTGAGGTTCTTGTTATAAAGGCAGATATCTGAACTCACCTCAGGCCATGTGAATAAGAAAGGGAAGAAAGATGATTAGTGGGCACAAGAACATGCATTTTTAGAATCTTTCATCTTTACTTCTAGGCAGAATAATGTTCGGGAATCATTTTCTTAGACATCTATACAAAGGGATATTTCTAGAATAGTGTAACCCAATCTATATAAAATGTTCAACTTACATTGTGACTTGACCTGATGCATTATATCTTTCAGTGAAGAGTAACTTCAATGACATAGATATTTTAAGAACAGTATGGAAGTTTAACTTTGTTCTTGTGATCAGGGCTACTCTTTACCTCACTATAGGTCAATTGTATAGGAAAATAGGTCATTTTCCTGGCTATCTCAGGCATATTGTTACATATTTTCCCTAATAATGTAGGATTTTAGTAAAATCTGTATCATATTTGGATTCAACTCTGGAAAAGTACTCCACAATGACTTGTGACAGCCAAACACAATAGTTAGTAGTTACAGCATGAGAATGGCAGTTAAATAACCTTGAAGTGAACATCACTATCACCAATTATTAGACACGTTATGTTCTATAGGCTTCTTTACCATTTTCTGTTTGTTTTGTTAAGATTTTGGTATAAGTTAAATGGTTTACATAAAATTTCTAGCCCAAAATAGCACCTTTAAACTGTACTCTATTGTCAGTATACTTTTTTTTCCTGAAGAAGATTCTCCCTGATGTAACATCTGTTATCAATCTTCCTCTTTTTGCTTGAGGAAGAGTCACCGTGAGCTAACATCCATTGCCAATCTTCCTCTATTTTGTATGTAAGTTGGGGCCACAGCGTGGCCACTGATGAGTGGTGTAGGTCCACACGCGGGAACTTAACCCAGGCAGCCAAAGTGGAGTGTGCCTAACTTAACCACTAGGCCACTGGGCCAGCCCCTTGTCAGTGTACTTTTCATCAAAACATGGGACTTAATATCTATTTTATGTACAAAAGATTTGGTCAAAGACAATCATATATAGAAGCTCAGAATCTCACAGAGAGAAAAGTCTGGCAGATCTGCAATTTAGAATTGCCCCAGAGGCCCTTTTCACAACACTGAGAGCTTAATTTAACCGCTGCACTTAATCACTGAACAGTTATAATGAATCTGACACTGGCAAGGTCATAGAATCATAGAATTCCAAATTTTCTTAGTATTGTAGGTAAACTCAAATCTCAAAGCCTCAACTAATTCCACACTTCCCCTCTCCTGCTCATTCTCCATGTAGGGTATCCTGTATCCTGGCCTAAGGTGTAGGTCAGAACTGTCAGTGTCAAAAGGATTAGATTGATGTAGCAAAAAAGATCAGCAATAAGACTTAGAAGACATAATTAGTACTACAGAAACAG